TAAGAAAAGTGATTTTGAAAGAGACTGAACCATTGTATGCTATAAAATGAATGTTTTATGAGGAATGTTTTTTTATTGATTGAAGAACATTAAATAGAACACAATATTAATCACTGCTTTTATGAGGCTATGACTGCGGGGTCATTTGTTGCAACTGCGGATGGATTCAGGTGACTGCGGTGGAATACAGTTTGACTGCGGTAGCATTAGCTGAAAGAACACTTGATAAAGAAGTTAGAAATAAATGAAACAAAAGACCCAAAGAATATATAAATCATATATGATTGCGGTATACTAGGTATACTGAAAAGATATATGAGGAATATATTATTCTAGAACCGCAGTGAGGAGAATGCTTCAAGAGTTTTACTTTGAAAAGAAAAGAAGCCACTCCTTCACACTTGGAGACCAGATGAGTTTGATGTTACCTTTGAGTATATGATCTTTGATGAAATGGTACTGTAATTCAATGTGCTTCGTCTTAAAGTGGTGAATATGATTATGAGAAATCGCTATAACACTCTCTGAATCACATTAAATAGGTACCCACAACATTCTGTATCTATAGTCCATAAGTTGAGTCTTCATCCATAGAACTTGGGAACAACAGCTGGCTGTGGCCATATACTCTGCTTCTGTGGTAGACAAAGAGACACAATTATACTTCCTTGAGGACCAACTGACTAGTCTTCCTCCTAAGAATTGGCATCCACCTGAAGTACTTTTTCGATCTAATCTACATCCAACATGATCCGCATCTGTGAAAGCTTAAAGGCTGAAGTCATTTCGTGCGGGGTACTAGAGGCGTAACTCTTTACTTCCCTTTAGGTATCTGAAGATTTGCTTGACTACAGTCAAGTGAGTTACTTTGGGATCCGCTTGGTACCTAGCACATAAGCCTGATGCAAAGACAATATTTGGTATACTTGCGGTGAGGTACATCAATGACCCAATCATTCCACGATAGATTTTGTGATCAACTGATTCTCCGATAGGATCAGCTGAAATCTTGTATCCAAAGGCCATCGGGACCTTGGCTGAGGAATAGTTGTCCATTGAGAATTTCTTCAGCAGCTCAGAGGTATATTTATCTTGATGAATGAATATCCCTTGAGGGACTTGTTTCACTTGAAGTCCTAGAAAGAAATTGATCTCTCTATTCATGCTCATTTGGAATTTACTTGTCATGAGCGTAGCAAAATCATTCACCATATCCTGATCTGCCGAACCAAAAATGATATCATCCACATATACTTGGACAAGCATCAAGTGATTACCATTTTCCCTTCTAAACAACGTGGGATCAATCACACCTCTTTTGTATCAGACATGACAAGAAACTCAGAAAGAGTCTCATACCATGCCCTTGGAGCTTTTTTAAGACCGTATACTGCTTTTTCTAGCTTGTAGCAATGATTTAGAAATTCTTGACTCTCAAAGCCTGGAGGTTGTTGCAAGTAAACTTCTTCTTTCAATTACCCATTCAAAAAGGAAATTTTGACATCCATTTGATGTACTTTGATATTCTTGTGTGCCGCATATGCTAAGAAGATGCGTATTGCGACTGGACCTCCACCTAGTTGTGCTTGAGCACTGTCTACTTGAACATGAGTAAGAACAGGGACATGGGATCCTTCTTCCACGGATCTCCACACATCTCTTCCGAGCCTCTTAAGATACCTTTCCATTCTTTGTGACCAATGGTGGTATTCATTTGCAAGAAGTATTGGTGCTCTGTTCGAGCCTCCAACACTGTTAGAAACGTTCAGTGGTAAAGCTTATGCCATATTTCCTTTGTTTTTTTGTTTTTGTTTTGTTTTTGTTTTTAAGAATGAGATTTAGTGGTATAGAAGGCTTTTCAAAATCAGAGTTTTGTTTAAAAAGCAACAACTTTTGCTCTAATACCAATTGTTGAGAGAAAAACTTTGGAAGAAACACTTGAACAAACATTAGAACAAGATAATGGTTGCGGAATAAGTTAATCTCAAAGGATCATGTAAGCTCAACAATAATAAGTTAGAGTTGTTAGATAGTTAGTTGCGGAAATATAAAGTGTTGAAATGTAAATGAGAAAAAGTTATATCAAGTATACACCATACTGATTCATAACGAGGTTTGCATTCAAACACAAGTTAGTATGTGTGATCAGTTTAAGGTGGAGAGGATATTCGAAGATAATAAGCAAGATAGAGATATGAGTAAATGATCTTTGTATTTCAGAGTGAAAGTTCAGAAAGTTCGTTCAAAGATGTGATAAGAAGAAGTGGTAAAGAGGTAAAGATACATGAAGACGGAAACTCTATTTATAGATTTCCATAAAGTTACATCTTGAATAAATAATAATAAACTACTAACTCTAAGTGACCATGCAAGGTTTACTGGACAATGTAATGCTAACACTCTAAGTCAGTTGATGTAACAAATGAGTCTTCACTGCGGTAGAGATAATTGCGGTTCAACTCCGGATCAAACATCAGTTGCGGTGGCAAGACTGACTGCGGTAGCCAAAAGAGATATGGTAGCAAAATGGAACTGTGGATCGTTAAGTTTAAGAGAGTCTATTTTTGATTTAACATCAGGCATCGGGCCCCGCCCGACATCGAGAAAAGCTCGGTATACATATCAACATATCAACATATCAACAAATACACATAAATACTCACATAACATATACATATAAACCTTCCTCGGGCCCCGCCCGACATCGGACCGAAATCCGAAAACATATAACATAACATATAAACATTCCTCGGGCTTTCCCTGGCATCGGACCGAAATCCGGAATATATAACAAGCACATGCAAGAATCACAAAGACATCAAGCATACAAACATTCCTCGGGCTTTCCCCGACATCAGACCAAAGTCTGGAAGCATATAAACACATAAACCTACTTCGGGCACTGCCCGACATCAGAACGAAGTACGACACATGCTAAGATACATAAACGGGCCGATATTCGTGCCTTAGACCCGTTCCTAGGAGGAAACTCACCTCGCAAAGCTGAGTGTCGAATCTCATGGTAAGGAATCCCCAACGGATGCTCCAACGACTCCCCGACTATCATTTTCATAACAACACTTAGTCAAAATCCATAATCCTTCTTAGGGTAAAATGACCATTTTACCACCTGGTCTAATTTGGACCATATCCTATGCCCATTTCCATCTAATCTTTCCAATCCCGCTAATGGCCCACTAAAGGCCCACTAATGGCCCAATTTTCTAAATTGGGCCCAACTCCTCAAATGGGCCTTTCTTAAAGCCCAAACATGTCCTTGACCCAGTAACTGACTCCTTATGGTCTACTAAAGCCCAAAAGCTAAAAAGTCCAAAGTTTTTCCCAAACCGAGACCCAAAAGTCGTGAAGTCCAAACTCAGCGATTACATAGGGCGTACTCCTCGGTACACTAAGCGTACAGGCTCTATGGCTTGTACGCTACGCGTACTGGCTTGTACGCCCAGCGTACTACCCTGTAAAGCCATATTCCTCAAAAGTGCTTAATCTTTCAATACCTTACATCCAAATTACAGATCTGAGTCCATTAACATGTCTTAACTCATAAAGTCGGTTACTTGTTGGCTTGCAACCCACAAAATGAACCCAAACTTGGGATATAGCAACTAACTTCCATGGAAATGACTAGAACTTATGCATGGTCACAAAAGGGCCTTAAAGATCGAAACTTTACTGCTTATGGGACTCATATATCACTAAGGGTGGCAACCCTAGGCCTAGAAACGAATTTGATTCATAAAGATCCATTCTTGGCACCAAAAAGTTCAAAAACATCACTACTCTAGATCTAAGCATACTTGAGGAAAGTTGTGAACTTTATACCTCCAAAGAGTCCCAAATGATGATGCTATCCCGGATCTATGAGCTTAAGATACTCAAGTTCCTCTTCACTAGCTTCTCCTTTCTTATTTCAAGCTTCTAAACACCACCAAGAACTTCACAAAGCCAAAAACACACAAGAATGAAGGGTGAGAGTCTATCTAGGGTTTCTAAGGTTGAGAGCCTGGTAAGGAGGCTAGGGTTTGAGCCATAATGTTGTATTTATATGGCTTAAACCCTAAAAATTAGGGTTTGGAGTCTGCTTGTGTATGCTACGCGTACCCCTTGGTACGCTGCGCGTACGCACCTCTGCCCCCGCATTCAATGTTGCACTACGCCCCGCGTACGCCAGACTTACGCCTAGCGTACGACTTCCGGTAGCCCATTCTTATCGGCCCACTTGCTAAAGCCCACTCAATATTCCATTACTTATTCCATAGTCCAAACAAATAAATTACAAATATTTTAAATTAAATATTACCTCAAGTGACGGATGTTACAATACCCTTAATGCTTCCTGTCATCGGTTGTGATCACTATTTCATTTCAGGAATCATTACGACTAACAAAGGAACATACACTTCTCTTTCTCTCTTCACTTTCTCTCTCTTGATGATCTCTTCACTTTCTCTCTCTTTTTAAATAATTAAAATAGTAATAATCATCTTTTTGTGTACTTAATTTAGATATTAATACAAAACTCACTATATTTTGAAACATTATCACAAAACTTCCTATATTTTAGTTTTTTTTTTTTTTGACATCTAAAATGTGATGTCATCAAAAGTACCACATTATTAAAACCGATACGTCATCAAAACTGTCATGTTAGTAGGGAACCGATTTAACTAGTCAATATTTTAACAAATTGGTAGACAGGGTGTCCAATTTGAGACAAAGACTAACATAGTATCAAAATAAAATTTTCCTTTAAACTTAATGACTTTAATGGAATTTACCTTCTTTTTTTTTTAAATAAATTTACCATTAGAAAAATATTGATCGACTTCAAGGACCTTTATTCTTTATTAAAATTAACCAAAGAGTAATCAAAACGGAATAAAAACAGTTGGGATAACCTCCAATGAATCTTTCTTAATTGCAGTGACTCCATGACTCTCAGTCATGTCAATATCTTTAGGACTTAATCCATTAGGAAGTTGCTAATTGAAGTGGTATAGCAATCTAACAAGAGTGAGCTCAATAGATACCAAACCAAAAGCAATCCCAGGACAAATTCTCCTCCCTGATCCAAAAGGGATATACTCGAAGCTTGTACCAAAGAAATCGTATGAAGTGTTCTCAAATCTCTCTGGTTTGAAGGTTTGTGCATCATCCCAATATTCAGGATCAGTTCCGCATGCAAGGCCATTAACAACGACTTTCATTTTTTCGGGTATATCATAACCACCAATTTTAACCTGCTCTCTACATTCCCTTGGTAGTAATAGTGGAATAGTAATGTGAAGTCTTAAAGTTTCTTTGATTATGTGTTTAAGGTAAACCAACTTATGTAGTTCAGTCTCGGCGATTGTTTTCTCTCCCTTAAATGCTTCTCTCACTTCTGCTTGGGCCTTCATCATCACATCAGGGTTTCTCATCAACTCTGTCATTGCCCATTCAATGGTCACAACACTTGTATCCGTTCCTCATATAAGCATATTCTGTGATATATCATTCGAATTAGAAGTTATTTAAACACGTTTAAAAAAAATCATCAACTTATGTCACATACAATAAACTTAATAAGTATATAATAGAGAAGAAACAAGATATGTAGTTGAATATTATTACTTTAAGTTACCTTTATAATATGTAAAGAATGAAAAAAACCAAGTAGTAGCTGTCAACATAATGAATATGATATAAGTGAACTATAGTATAAATTAAATGAGCATATACCAGAAAGATCGCCTTGATATTGTTGTCTGTGACTCGGAACCGAAGACCACCACGCTCTTTGATGTTGAAAAGAACATCAATCAGATCGTCTTCTGTTGGACCAACTGTTTGTCTTCTGATTCGACGTTCCTCAAAGATTTCATCAAAAATGTTATCAAGAGACTTGTGAATCTTCGTCAACCTAGATTTCATCCCAGAAATGGTAGAAAGGAAAGTTAACGTAGGAAACAGGTCTGCAACATAATACCCACTGGATAACGCCACCACTTGTTCCGCCAATTCGATCAACACATCCTGTTGTCTGCAATCATTTCCAAACAAACACTTGCACACGACAGTATTATTCATTTTCATAACCCTTTTGCGTATGTGTACAGGCTTTCCAACGCAGGATTGAACCACCTCCGTGAAACGATCGATCTCTATCGCCCTAAAGCCCATGAAGGATTAAACTTTTTTGACACTTAAGAGTTCCATGGTGACGATCTTCTTCATTTGTCGCCAGTAATCACTGTAACGACCAAAAGCAATGTCAATGCCTCCGTACAACAGAATATCAGCAAGAAGTGCATATGGGCGGCTTGCAAGGGCTAGGTCGTGAGTTTTTAGTACTTCTTCAGCTAACCGAGGTGACGAGACGACGACCATGGAGATCTGTCCGAGTTGCAGGCTCATTATGGGGCCGTATTTCTTGGACAAGTCAAGGAAAGCACGATGCGGCAGTGCTAGGCCAATTTGATAGAGGTTTCCAATGATGGGTAGCTTTGGTGGGCCTGGTGGTAGGTTGAGAGGCTTGGAACTCTTGGGTTTTCTGTTGCAGATGTAGTAGATGGAGAGAATGAAAGAGGAGACCATGAAGATGATGGTCATATCGATGGCCATTGTTACTCAACGGGATGAGTTGGTTAGGAGAAGATGTGTAAGCTCCATATATATAGCATGCATGGAGAAGCGCTACTTTTACTTTTCAGCTTAATACTTCAATCAAATCTTACAAGCCTAGTGGAGGAGGCTTTACTTATTCCCACGTTTATTACTACTGCAGCACCTCAATATTATAATCTTATAAAGATAAAGATACTATAGGACAAATTAAAGGATGCATGAACCTCAGGTGTTTCCTCCTCCTATTTTAACATTACCAGAAAATCTGATCATAATACCTAAATCACAATCCGTACTTATAGGGAGATACCTATGGAAATGTGACCGAAAAAAAGGCTTTAAAATAGCTCGTGGGAAAATAGTATCTACGGATTTGCGATGGATTAGCTACAGAATACTGACGACTTTTTCCGTAGGTATAATACCAATAGAATACCGATGAATTTCCTACGAAATAAGGACGGGAGTCAAGTTTGACTAAATTTGACTTTTTAACTACGGAATGCCGATGAACCTATTTAGCGACGAATTTCCTACGATTTAGTGATCAGAGTGAAGTTTGACTAAAACTGAATTTTTACCTACGAAATACTGACAGACCTACTTAGCAATGGATTTCCTAGAATCAGCGACAGAAAATTGATGAATTTAAATATATATATATATATATAGATATATATATATATATATATAATATATATATATATATATATATATATATATATATATCTGCTTAAAATGCAGAAAAAACATTACATTCAAATACCAAAAACATCAAATAATTACTTAATCCAAAACAAAATATTAGTACTTAAATACCAAAATAACATAATCTAAAGCCAAACATTTTAAAATCGAAGATTTATATACATATTTGATTTCAAAGTTAGTACAATTCTTGATTTTCTCTTATATTATGCTTTGCAACATAAATCACTTTCTGAATCTCTTCTTGAACACACTCATATTCAAACTATAGTTAAAACACAACACAAATATAAAAAGTAAATTTTGTAAGTACAATGAGAGTTTTAAGCTGCTTTTAGCAATATACTTAAATTAAAAAAACTGATACACAGACGTTCATAATTTAAAATTGTAATTTACCTGAGTGCACTTTTAGCAATGTACATACAAAGTACAATACTTTAATAAGAAACATAAAAGCACACCAACACTATGTGTTTATAATGAAAACGAACAACCAAAGCAAATGGCCATAATACATATATAAATAAGAAAAAAATGGAAATAAGATAAAGAGTTGAAAATTATATTTCAAGGCATAAACTTTGGTTATAGCCTTGCATTATTCATGCATATCATGTAGTTTTTGAGTAGTTTATTGAGTTTGTTGTACTTGTTTCCCTATGCCTTGAACCTAGCAAAGAGAAATATCCAATAAGATATATGTTTTTGATGTATATATTTATAAATGGTCACTTTCTAAACCCAGATCCAAGCAGTCCCTAATTCAAACGATAGTAAAAAATGTGGGATTTCAACTCAAAAGCCTTAGATTGCAAGTCAACAACATATAAAATATAAAAATACATGCATAACTTTTCAATGTCCTCCACCATCCCAATAGCTGCAAGTGATTTCCAGAACCACATCCGAACATCCCCTTATTTTGTAAAACTCCCATGTTTAACCAAACCACCATCATCAAACACCCATGCAATCCCGTGAGGCAACCTTATACCGCTACTATCATCCTAATACTCATCACCATCTCCGCGACCATACACCTCCCAAAGTTACCATCCTTTTCCCTTGTTCTTGCCATCGATGTACCACTATATCCACCATGATCAACCACCAAACCAGTCGATCACCTGCTTCCATGAACCGACAGAACCGGTTCATCATAAGCCACCACGAAACCCTGATGGGTTTTACATGCAATAACACGGATAAATCCTTAGCACTTAAGGGTACAAGCAACCTATTAGATCTATGTCATAGCACTATTAAAGTAACATTTTATTAAACAACAAGAACCGTATGAACCCTAGGTATTTTCAAAATTGACAAAAAAAAATAGGAATTACATACCTTTTTTATTGTTGTAGTAAACAATCAAAAATCCTTTCTTCTTTGATTCGGAAGCTAGCACTACAACTGTCGTGCCTCTAATGATTCACACCAAACCCTAGCAACCAAGGAAACTTGAAGAGAGAGGATAGAATAGATAAAATTTGGGGTATACTCTTAAGGAGTCAAGTGGCTGAAATTTAGAGGCTATGAGACCCTATTTATAACTGACTAAGAAACCCTAGATAACTCTTACTTGATTAAAATAATAATATCTTATATCAGGTAATTATCTGGTTTCCTAACAATCTCCACGGGATATTCTAGAAACCCTAGAATCATTCCAAAAACCGTCCACCTCACATGGAGAAGGTTCTGGAACCCTTTTGTTCTACTATTGAACATTTACAGCTTAGGTCCATGTATATTTAATTAATCCAATTAATCACAAAATTACTTCCAGTTAATATCTGATTAATTGTTAATTAAATAACAATATTTCTAATTAATATAGTATTCTCATAATATACTAAAAAATTATTTATTTTCATTTCTAATTAATTTATTAATCATATAATAAATTAATAAATCAATCCCTCTCTCTCTCTATATCTCTCTCTCTCTCTCTCTCTCTCTATATAATATATATATATATATATATATATATATATATATATATATATATATATATATATATATATATATATATATATATATATATATCTAAAAGGTAGCCTATTTAATTACCAAGTTTGAGGGCAACCCAAAAGGACTGTGGTACCATCAATTCAAGTATATGCCAATTATAGTAATGGGCTTAGACACCTAATCCAACAATTTCCCACTTGGATAATTCTATAATTATAATTGCTAGTGAACTTCTGAACCGATCAGGAAGTTATAGCTTTCAAAAGCCATTGTGGAACTCTGACACAGTCAGTTACGTGTCCTAAGATAAATGATCAAATATTCCTTGTTCTACAAGAGATCGACGAGACATGGATTGAAATCAATCTCATTGTCTAAAATTCTATTTCTCGATTTCCTGATTTTTGACGACTGAGTTCAGACTACTAATTGAACATATCAATTCAGTCCAGGCTTGGCCAAGCACTTCAGATGTCGACATCAAATCATCGAGGGGCCCAAATATGTTGCTTTTCCCGTTAGAAAAAAAGGAACGAATAAACTTTGACTCATATGCCTGCATCTTTTACTCACCAAATCGCACATGACACTACGTTTTATAACATCAAGTTACGGATGTGTTTTCGCAAAACCAATGTACAACCGACTTGTAAATTACAACTCATATATCTCAGTTTTAGGAATATAAGATATTATCGTCTCTGAATTACTTGTGATAAAATCCGTGAACTAATTCTCTGAGTGTGGGTTTATCCAATACTCAAAATCCATATTTCCTAAGTACTCATGAACATTGTAGCAATTTTATTTTAACGTCTAATCCCCATAGACAATATACTATTCAATTCATGACAACCTTAATTCACTATTTACTTCCAAAAGTATGAGCGACTGTGGAGTTTCAAATAATCAAATTATTCAAGAAGTAAAACATGTGAAGTAAAACACAATAATAAACTAATTAACTATGTTCTCAAAACTATTAATTATAAATAAAACTCTTATTATTTAATCACCATAATAATTAACACATTATTCGTTGTATAATGTTTCGAGTAATCAACTATCCACTTGAATTAAGCATCAGTCATACCATGTTATGAACATGCATAATATGCCTCTATATGGTCCTTCATTAGTGAACAGATCGACCGGACACTATTCCAATGATGTTCATTTCATAATTTCAAATTCTTGTCAGTGTATAAAATGAATTGGAATTCTAACCTCATATCCATTGACCTTCTGTGATGTCGAGGCTTCAAAGTCATAGAGACTGAGCCAACAATACTACAAAATATTCCATTGGAACTTTGTTACTAAAAACAATTCCAAGGTAATGGAGGTTCTAATTCAAGGTACGCTCCTTGAACACAATTTTGCATAAAAGTTTCCAATTCACATGCAGACTCAATAATCAACTCCCTTTATGGAAACTTGTCTATATTCCCATATGACCATCAATTTTGACAAAGAATCATCTCAATCTAAAACATGTCACTATGGTCTTTCCAAACAATACCATACTACCAACTGTCCGTAAGCAAGCAATCTTCAGTAAACCTATGAATGTTCTTGTGTGACATCCCCAAAATCACGGCCAGAAAAGACCGGTTTCATTTATGCTTTTAAAATAATTTCAGAGTAAATCCTTTTGATTTAAAAGAGTTGTGGAATTTGTTCCCAAAACAAAATATGATAAAAAAAAGATTTACCAAAGCATTTCTTAAAGAAATGTATTTTTCATTATATTACAATACTCGGGATGTCATGTTCCGATAAACAGACCAAAAGCATAAACAATTCAATACAGACCTTACAACAATTATTTACAACAACAGGTCTATAATCCAAAAAAATAACTTGACAAGTCATCCAACTTATGCTCTGGCGCCACTACCTGTAATACAAAGAAACTGAGTGGGTCAGGCTTGGGAGCCTGGTGAGCATATAGGGTTTTCAACCCACAATAAATAATTAAATTAATTTTCATCAACCAACAATAACCCAATTACCCATTCCCGTTATTCTCACTTTACGTCCCTAGAACAACTAACACAAGGGACCTAGTCTAAGAATATTTCATCGGGGCGACAACACATGCTTCGGGGGTTTCCCAGCAATATATGTCAAATAAGGCAACCATGAGGGGGATGGAGTACAGCGAATGAACACCCAAGTTCATTAACACCTACAGGTGGCGGGCCTGCTGGCGTTCCACATGACTGTCTAGAAAAGTCCGTGGTCGTCATCTAAACTCCGCTAGATAACTGAATCAAAAACAACATTGAGGCCTCTCATCTGTTTATCAC